TTGGTCAGCTTCATCACTTTGCATGGTCATGGGCTCCTAAATTTATTGCTGCTTCCCTTACGATAGCCCCACTTGCATGTTTTACATGCACCATAGACTCAACATCACTAACATTAATCAGCACTCATGCCTGCTTCTCCTTCTATGTGTTTGTATTATTAAATGACTATCACTCTACCAGTTACACAAATAAATACCAAGGAATCTTTCTCCATCTAGGTGTCTGTCTCTCTGTCTCTCTCTCTCTGTCTCTGTCTCTCTCTCTCTGTCTGTCTCTCTGTCTCTCTCTCTCTCTCTCTCTGTCTCTCTCTCTCTCTCTCTCTCTCTCTCTCTCTCTGGCTCTCTCTCTCTCTGTCTGTCTGTCTCTCTTTCTCTCTCTCATCTTCCTGCATTCAACCAGTTAACAGATTCTAACCTTCTAAGTAATTCTGAAATCCATCCAGTTTCCTACAGTATCTATAGCCTGTCTATGATGACCCTAGTGTAGGTCATCAACATCTTCCTCTTGCATTGTAGAAATAGCTTTTATTTGGCCCCTCTATCAATTTCTTTTTCTCTTCCTCTTCTTTCTTCTTCATTATCCTTTACTTTCTGACTTTTGTAGCCCAAATATATAAAGAAAAGCTTATTCTTTAATCACAAACCTAAATATATGCTTAAAAGTGCAGCACAGATATGCTGTTTCTCTGACTACAAGTTTGCAAGGGCTTCTCATCACTAGTTTCCTTATTATGACTTACAAGGCTCTTTATAATCTGACCTCTAACCTTGTCTTCTACTTTATTTCTCATTACCACTTCTTTATACTCCTTTTCTCTTCTATGAAGTACTTTTAATAATACTTAGATCTGCCTGGTTCTTTGTTCTCTTGAGCCTTTGTCCATGCAATTTCTTTTGTCTGGAATAATTTCTCCCTTACTTTCACCTTCACCTTTATCAGATTTAACTCCTATATAGTCCTCCAGCAAGATTTGTCATGTCTGTCTATATATCCCTAGGATCTGGAAGTGTCTAGCACGCAAAAAGCAATGAATAATTTTCTAAATATTTTATAAAACATAAACAACTGAGTTGGTTGGGTCAACTGTACTCCTGCAGCCCCATATTTTTCATGTGATTGTCCTTTATTCCCCTGTATTCCTATTACCAACTATATTGTCTCCTTCAGAACCCTGAGTATCTTAGTTATTTTTTACTCATTGCTGAGACAAAATACCTGATGCCAAAGTTCGGAGAGGAAAGTTTTATTTCTTACAGTTTTTGGAGGTTTCAGTCTACACTCAGTTGGCTCCAAGGCATGGCTGGGCCACAGTTCATGGTGGCTGCAAACAGCAAGCAGGAACCAGCAAAGAGCAAGACACACCTTCTTCATGCCATTACATCACATCCTGGCTCTACCCCTATATGAGTATAGCACTGACATCATCAATCCAAGCACTAGACAATGAACCAATCACAAATGCACAATGTAAACTCATGAGGCCTGGGGAACACAGACTTATGTCACAGACCGTGACATTCCACCCCTGGCCCCCAGGACTCATGTACATCCTTTATACAAAAGGCATTGAGTCCACCTCCAAGAGTTGCCAAAGTCCTAAATTTCAGCATTGATGAAAAGTCCAAGTCCCAGTCTCCTCCAAGATCTATGGTAAACTCTTAACTGTAATCCCCTGTACAAATTAAACAAGGTTAAACATTTCTGAAATGCAAAGGCACAAGATAAACATTACCATTCCAAAAGTTACAAACAGGGGAATATAAAGCATTGGAAACAAAGCAAGTCTAACATCCAGCAGGGCAAACATTAACTCCTAGAGTTCCATGCTCAGCATCTGAAGTAAACTGGTTGTAAGCTCCAAAAGGCTTGGTTGATTCCACCCTCACGGCACTTCTGGTGATTTTAACTCTCACAGCTTTTCTCTTAAATCCTCTCTGCTCGCTTTTTGTAGCTTTCCTTGGATCATCCACCTTCCTGGATTTTCGAACTTCTGGGGTCTCCACTGTACCTTTGGCTTCACCCTTACATCTTCAGAAATTGCCCTCTCAGGGGCACACTGCTCGCCCTCCCAGGCCCTTTGCAATCGAGGTGGAAGCCATCCTACCCTCAGAATTTGTGCATTATCCTTGCACCTAAAATCAGCACCTTGTGGATGCCACCAGGTTTGCTGCTAGCTGAAGCAATAGCCAGGCTTTTCTCTCTCTTGGCTGTAGGGGTCAGTTGCCTGGACCGCAGGGCTCTGTTTGCCTGATTGTTAGGAAAAGCTTCTCTATGTTGTCATGATTCTGAAACCTCATGTGGCCTCTGTCGCCATTCTGGAGCATGGTGCTCTGCAGCCTTCTCCTCTGAGCAAATTCTTTCACCTTTGCAGTGAGGCTGCAAAGGGTGGGGACCCGCTTCCTGGGATGTTCCAGGGCCATCTTTCTTATCTCTCTGTTTCCCCTCAACAATCAAAATCTCAACTCTGTCTTTACAATCCACAGCCTTCCTGGAATTTTCCTTCTGGACAAACTCACAGCATTGTAATTATCCTGCTGGACTCTTTGCTCTTGATTTGCAACATAAAGCTGGCTAAAAGCCCCCAACAATAGCCATGCCACAGCCTCAAGGTTCGATTGCTTTTTAACTTCTTTTTCAAGAATAATCAGACCATTGCTCTTTGTCTCAGTCTCAGGCAAAGTCTCTGGGCAGGAGCAAAATGCAGAAAAGTTTTCTGCCAAGCCATAACACATATCATGTGGAGTCCAACAACCAATGCAGTCCTTCTTCCCAGCAGAAAACTCCCAAGCCTAGTCTTTACTATCAGGCTTTCTGTCAGCCTTCTGGTCTCCTGAGCTCTGACCAGAATCTCCTCTACAGAACAGACTATGGTGCTCCAGTTCTGCACATCCAGGTGACACATCCAAACCTTTCCAAACTCTGCCCACAAGCCATTTCCAAAGCCTCTCGAAAAACACATTCAGGTATAGTCACAGCAAACAACCTCACTCCTTGGTAGCAAATTCTTAGTTACTTTGTATTCGTTGCTGAGACAAAATACTTGAGGCCCAAGTTGGGAAAGGAAAGGTTTATTTCTTACAGTTTTTGGATGTTTCAGTCCACAGTCAGTTGGCTCCAAGGCAGGCTGGCATGGCTGGGCTGCAGTTCATGGCAGCTGCAAACAGCAAGCAGGAACCAGCAAAGAGCAAGACATGCCTTCTTCCTGCCATTATATCACATCCTGGCTCTACCCCTATGTGGGTATAGCACTGACATCATGATTCCAAGCACTAGACAATGAACCAATCACAAATGCACAATGCAAACTCATGAGGCCTGAGGGACACAGACACAAATCATGACACTGAGGCTTATAGAATATAGTTTAGAATTCATTGCCTAGCTAATATACAAGACCCTTAAGGTGACATATCTGCCTTCCATGACAATATAACCCCTGTCTATCTTTCCATGTTTCTTTATTGGCCACTATGCAAACTCCTTTATGATATGAAAATATTGAAGTGTATGTGATCCCTCAGTCCTATAACCACAGTCTGCTTTGTATTCATTCTTTAAATTCATTCTGAACTCTACCTTGAATGACTATACCCTTCCTATCTGCTTCTTTCTCCTTGCAAACTTATTGTTTCAAACTCAGGCATTAACTCTTTCAAAGCACTTTTCCTGAACCATCCCTCCCAACTCCACACTAGATAGGTGTTACTTCTGGGTGGTCTCATAATGTTTTATGTATACAACCATTTATTTATGAAGCTATTTTATAATTAGTTCACGTGTGTGCCACTTCCTTTACAGGATGGGTTCCTTGGGAGAGAAACTACTTTATCCACCTCTGTATTCCTAGCAACTGACATAGTACTCCATCCATTTGGGTACTTCATAGATTTTTTTTAATAAGTGAATAGGTGACCATTTTATTTCTCTGAACTGTTCTCAGTCATTATCTTTCTTCCTCTGAATACTGACCTTGTACCTTTTTCTTTTTCATTTAGAAGTGATTGAGATGTTGTTATGTATGAGGACTCAGCAATCACCATATTCTGTATGTCCTGGCCTAGACCTCAGCAACCCATTAGCATTAAACCCAAGGTAGAAAAACACATAGAAGAAGAATAAAAGGCACAATAGTTCTTTGTTAACTAGGCTTTTGTCCTCAAAACTCAACAAAGAAGATATGCTAAGGTACAAAGAGTGAAGTGGTATATTATTTTTTTCCTGTACACCCAATGCAGCACATCTACCAGCCTTAGAGAAGCAGAAGCAAAGGGCATCATTGTCTTCTTCTGTGCTTAGTGTTAAACTAGTTGAAACATCACTTGGATTTGTTGTCCCCAGCCAAGTATTCATCCTATAGGGTGAAAATGAAAATAAGGATCAGGGCCTAGTTTCTTTCCCTGTGAATAGGCTTACTACTTCACTGTCACAAATGTAAATGGAAGAACTTGGAGCAGTCCAGGTTTGGCAGGCTCTTAATCTAGATAAATGTCATCTCTATTACTCTAATCCCTCCTCTTCCAGGTGCCACAACTGTCATACCTCGTATATGTTGATGACCCAAACCTTTATCCCCAATTCACCCTGTCATTTTCCAGCCATGGGAGAATTCTTGCCTAATTAGTATGTTCTTTATTACTCTCGCATTCTTGGCCCTGACCTTATGTGTACCAATATAAAACATACAGCAGAATCAACTTTTACCAAAGCTGTTTTTCAAACACACATGTTTTTTTCTATTTAAACATGGAATCTCAGATAGAGTGTGCCATTCTCTAGGGACACATAGGTACTTAATCAAAAAGCATAATGTAATACATTTTTATTTAGATAATAGTATTAAGTACTTAGCTTGATACCTGTTTCATCACAGTTCCTCAATAATTATTAATTTCATCCATTCTTTTCTTTTCCTCCAAAATAAATTATGTGCTTTGAGAGATTTTTAGGGTTTTACTAAAACAAAAGCTTTTGTTGACCTCATTCTCTTTCTTTCCTATAGTTTCCATTCTAGCTGAAACAGAAGAAATCAAGGCCATTTTGAAGGACAAGGGAATTCTTGTGGAGACTATTGCTGAAGTATACCCCATCAGAGTACAACCAGCTCGTATTCTCAGTCACATTTATTCTAGTCTAGGTAAGGAAATTGGCCAACCTGCGAGAATCATAGCAGTGTGTGTTATGGGCTGGTTGCTTTCCATTTTTTTATGTTCTGATCTTGGATTGGTTATTAAACTGAGTCTGAAAAGGAATTTAGAGTCTCTGGAATCCAAGTTTCTAAGCCTGTCTTTTTTAGCAGAAGTGATAATCTTATGTGTGTTTTATGAATTTTGGTACATGGAGCATGACTGTTTTCAGACAATGTTATATCTTTATGCCAAGTGTATACTTAATTAACATGTCCCCCACTTCTGTAGAACCTATATTTCTGTTTCAGATATATAGTAATTTTATGTAGAATAATAGTCAAGGACCTTGTTTTAGGGTTTTTATAACTTATCATGTGAGGAACTAGTTGCACATCTGGTGTCCAGAAAACAAGGAGAGAGGGGAAGAGCCTGGGAGGGGGAGAAACTCTTCCAGGTCCACCCCCCTAGTGACCTACCTCTTACTTCCCTGCTCTACCTCCTAATAGATGTTCAGTTGTGAACTCATCAGTGGTTTAATCTATTAATGAATATAGCACCCTATGATCTAATCATCTTCCAGAAGCCCCACCTCTGAACACATAAGGCTTTTGGGGGATATTCTATATCTAAATCATAACAGTATGTTATCTGATTAGCAATTGATACATACATATTGACTGCACAGAACTGGAAAATAGAGAAAAGCACAAAAAAACAGTAAAAATCACTTGCAATACCCCCACCCCACAGAGTATTTTAGAATATTTGCTTTTAATAAGCTTTTATAAGATAACACTTGTTTTTAGGAAAATTTTGTTATGAAGAGAACACTTTGCAACTGTCTTTTGAAACATAAAAATAGGTGATTAACCTCATATTTTGGTAAATAGCTTCCTATGCCTTAGTTTTAGACTCATATTGCCATAATTTCTCCAAATTTTTAACTACATAGTAGATAAACTTATTTTCATAAATAAGTCATTTTCTGTTTTGCAAATTATTTACTAACATTCTTTTGTCACACAAGTCAGTTGCATTTCTAAGCATTAACACTAAATCCAAAAAGGAAATTAAAAAAGCATTTCCATTTATAATAACATCTAAAAAACTAAAATACTCAAGAATCAACTTGACCAGGGAGGAAAAGATTCATACACTAAAGATATACGGTGATGTTTACACGATGATGTGAACATATTTAAATATATTTAAAATCATGGCACTGTATGCTTACACTATCAAAATAGTTTTATTTTATGTGTTTTTTACTCTAATAAAAATAAGCAAAAAAAAGGAGCAGAGAATAATCCTAATTTTGATATGAGACTCAGGTAAAATATGTGCTTTATTGAGTAGATCCTGGAATATGACAAGGCACTGATGGTTCTCTGGTTCTGGCCCCCTAACAGAGAGCAAATCTACAAAAAGAGCATATTTGATAAAATAACACTTAGGATAAATCAAGGGAAAATACTCAAGGAAGACATTTAGTGAAAACTTAAAAGTAGGAGTTCTGTGAGTACTAACATGAAGGCATATTTAATATGTATTTGGGAGGACTTTCAAAGCAATTCGTGTATTATCATCACACAAGAAAAATGTGTGTGAATAAATAAACCATTTTCTCATTGCAGGAGGTACTGATTTAGTGTATGTCTGAATATAAAACATGTTTGCTACTTTAGTTTTTGTACTAAAAATATCTTGACCAATTCTCAATTCTGTCTTAGGATGCAACAGTAGAATGAAACTCAGTGGACGGCCATATAGACTCATGGGAGTTCTTGGAACTTCAAAATTGTATGATATTCGGAAAACTATCTTTACTTTCACCCCACAGGTGGGTGAAATAAGCTATAACGTGCATTGAAATGAATGAAAATAAGAGAAACACACAGCAGATACAAAGCATTTACTGAAATTTGGACAAGGGTCAAAGAGTTTCATGGGTGGAGGGCTTTTATATATTAAGTTGCTCAGTAAATATTTTGAGTTGAACTGAATTGAACTGTAGCAGTTATGTCATGTGATTGTGGGTACCATGTATAATTTTGGATACTGCAGAAACTGTGACTAAAGATTTTATAAATGTTAGAATACTTACAAAGTTTCTCTAACTTTTAAAAGTTAAACCGACAGCATGTACCCTTTATAAAGTAAAATACAGCCTTTTTATTCAGCTACTAAATTATAGGTTTCCTCTAGAAAAGAGCCTTTTTCTGTGCATAGAAATCTTAAATATCTCTTCTTGACAAAATGTTAGTACTATTGAGCTGTGAGTATGCATCTGGTTAGCCTGATGTTAGCTATATTACAATAGCAAGCCTGCTTATACGTGTATGGTGGAGAAGAAACTATTGTTTTGGAAAGGAACCTTATCCTTCTAATTTTCAAATTTACATCTGAAATCACAGAGCTGAGGTAGCTATAGACAAAAGAGAATGGATCCTAGACTATGTTTCCGACTTTGTCATTTGATAACCATATGATTCTGCCATTCTACATAGTATCTGTCTCTTAGCCTTATTTTTTCTTCACTGGGTGGATTATAGAATTAAATAAAATTTTGTGCTGAAAAGATTTTATAAACTATGTCACACTTCAAAAGTGACAGGAACTGGCCCTGAATCAAGGCTGACACCTTCCTGATGCTATTGGCTTCAAGCAGGAGTCTAAAGAGGTGTCTTTCTATGGTCTGTTGGTCATTTCAGAACTTGGGCAGTGAAATGGTCAATTCGTTACGAAGAAACAGCTTGAGGTAACCTCTCCCCCATGGTGAGTGTCTGTGAGTGTGGTAGGCTGCAACGGACAAGAGCCACCAATGTTTACTGGGACCCAAGTCATGCTGGGACCTGGGGCACTGGGAAACCAACCAAGCCCTCCCTTCCCTGGTGAGCAGCTGTGAACATGGCAGGCTCTGGCAGCCCAGGATGGGAGCCACCAGCATTTACTGGGACCTGTGCCATGCTGGGACCTGGAGTGCTGGGAAACCAAGCAACCCCTCCTCCCCTGGTGAGCGACTATGAGCGTGGCAGGCTCCGGTGGCCCAGGATGGGAGCCTCTGGCATTTACTGGAACCCATGCTATGCTGGGACCTGGAGCACTGGGAAACCAAGCAATCCCTCCCCCCTCCATGAGCAGCTGTAATCATGGCAGGCTGTGGCAGCCCAGAATGGGAGTCACCAGCGTTTACTGGAACCCACGCCATGCTGGGACTTGGAGCACTGGGAGGCCAGGCAACCTCTCCACCCCTCCATGAGTGGCTGTGGGTATGGCAGGTTCCAGTGGCCCAGGATGGGAGCTACTGGTGTTTACTGGGACCCATACCATGCTGGGACCTGGAGTGCTGGGAAACCAAGCAACCCCACCCCCCTGTCTCTGTTGTTTTGTTGAACTTCAATATATGTGAAAATATGAACAGCTGTTTTGAAGAGAACAAGAGACTCTGTGACAGCCATTAGTGACTTCCCTATTGTCTCGTTTTGAATACCTAAATCGGCTTCCTCATTCTGTTCGGATCAGTTTTATACTATGTTGTTTTATATGAATTCTCTGTTTACAAAGACATGGACAACTATTTGGAAGAAAACAAGAGACAATATGATAGACAGTGAAGATCTCAGGTCATCTAGCTTTGAAATTTATATCTCTTACTTTGCTTTCGTATGTCCTATTTTGTTCTCTTTTGTTGTTTAATTTTACCACCTTTAAAAGAAAAAGAAAAAAGAAAAAAAAACCAAAAGTGACAGGAACTATTGTTACAGGTATTATTTGACCATGACATACTTCAGGAAGTATTAATCATTAAACTTGTGAGCATCACTGCCTGTGTGACAGCTTACATACTTTTGTGAATATGTAAGTTTTTAAACATTATTTGCTAATTATGAGAACAAATTGTTCTGAATTTTTTTTTTTCTTTTTCTCAGTTCATAGACCAGCAACAGTTCTACCTCGCTCTGGACAATAAGATGATAGTGGAAATGCTTAGGACAGATCTCTCCTACCTCTGCAGCCGCTGGAGGATGACAGGCCAGCCCACCATCACCTTCCCCATCTCACACTCCATGCTTGGTAAGGGCAATATGAGGCCAGTGTATGAGTGAAAAATACTCATGAGAGTATTTTTTCAATAAGTCAGATGTTTAGTCCTTCAACAGCCTACAGTTAGTGGAGAGTTACTTTTCATGATTTCTTCTTTCAGAAGTACTTTTTAGCTTCTCTCTTGTGCCTGGCATTTTCCTAAGCACTAGAGACATATGGGGTGTGTGAGGCAGATGAGGTCTCTGCTCTTATGGAGTTATGTTTTAGAAGGCAAAGACAAACAATATGAATGAAATAAGCAAACACAATAATATTTCAAATAGTTTGAGAGCCATAATTTTAAAAAATGTAGCAAGACATTAAGTTGGTTGAAGGCTACTCTATGTTTCTAAGTCAATTTATGGAAACTATTCACAGTGCTACATTCTGCATCTATTTCATTCAAGGTTTTATAGATAAATTCCCAGGCTTCTCCTTCCAAACTCTAAGTAAAGCAATAAAATCCAGCAGGGAAAAAGTAAAAAGGCCTTTTCTGTTTTTTTGTTTGTTTGTTTTTGCAAAAATTCAACTTCATTTAGATACACAACTTTTCACAGCTTTAGATTCAGAGCACATAGTTCTAAGAGCATTCATACTAAATTCTCTGTGTTCCCAGTTTACAATACTGATTTAAGTGCATTCCAAAATTATCACCAAAACCTTATTTTTGAGCATCAAAAGCTGGGGGTTTTTGTTTTTGTTTTGTTTGGTTTTGACATCACTTACTTGAAACTGGGTGAAAGGCTTTATTATTCTCCTGGGTTCTGGAGGACTAGAGCCAATACCAAAGCCACTACTTTTTTTTAAGTCTCTGGTGTTCTTTCCAAAAGTTTGTTTGTACTGCCAATGTATTTAGAGTTCTTTTTCATTAAAAACGAATACCTTATAAATCACTCAAAAATCCAGACAAACTGTTAGGCTTTTGGGTCACATTTCAAAAGCACTTTAGAAATGCAGTATTTGGGGAGGTAGGATAGTTTTTTTTTAAAAGCTTTTTCTTTTACTTAAACAGTACCTATTTACTAACTATTATGTTCTTAGAATTTTCTTCATGAAGTGTAAAATCTAATTGGAGAATCAGAGCTAATGCATAAGAATAATAGAAAACAATCCACAACACTATGTAAAGAAATACTATACCATAATATTAGTATTTCACAATGAAGGTTATCAGGGTGTCAGAAAATAAAACCTCTCAATTTATGTAGAACTTGAGCAGGCTTTTGGAATTGTTAATGTTCAGATGAGAAAAGAGAACATAGAAGGGTATTTTAAATGAGGGGTGGTAATATCATGAGTAAAGCCTAGAGATAGGAATGAACTTGACTTGTGTGGCCAGTGAGGGGACAAGTCTTAAAAGAGTGGGCTTGGTTTATTGAAATATGATTACAAACAAAGCTGGAGAACTTAGGTAATGTCAGATTATGAAACTTTTGAAAGTAAGCAGAGATATTTAAAACAGGTTTTCTCAGAAGTACAAAACCATAAGTGATGTTTAAGGACAGTAAACATTGTCATGAGGAAAGACTGTTGTCAATAAAAGTAATCCACATATAAGCAAAGAGAAGACACTGTATTATGTTGGTAGTAAAAGTGGAAGGGGCATGAGCCATTTTAAACAACATCTGTAAGGCAGGTGCTGGCTAACTAGATATGAGATAACTAGATATGAGATAAATCAAGACAACACCAAAGTTTAAGGATAAGCTATGTCAATCCATTTGTGTTGCTACAACAAAATACTACAAACACCGTAATAGTAAACATTAGAAATTTACCACAGTTCTGGAGGCAAGGTGCCACCAAGTTTGGTGTCTAGAGAAGGCCTAGTTTTTCTGTTTCCAAGAGGTTCTTTATTGCTGCATCCTCCAAAGCTGATGACTGTGTGTCTTGACATGGCAGAAGAGACAGAAAAAAGGCAAACTTACTTCTCCCAAGCCTATTGTAAGAGTCCAAATCCCATTCAAATCCCATGAGGACTCTGTCCTCATGATTTAGTCACTTTTTAAAGGCACTACTTCATAACACTATTACACTGACAATAAGTGTCAACATATACATGTTAGGGGACACTTAGACCATACCACTAGGTAAAGGATGCTGCCACCAATAGAAGCATAAGCTCAACAGAAAGATTGAGACAACAGAATGAACTTAATTTTTATTTTAATTTTATGTCAAACACCATAGAAAAGAGCCTCAGCTTTATTCCCTCCCCTTCTCAGCAGAAGCTAAAGGAGTATCTTGGACTTCTACCCTCACACAGCTGTGCAGCAGCATCCTTTTCCCTTGAAGAGGGAGTAGCAAGAGCAGATCTAGTGGAGCATTTAAGAGTTTTATTCTTGTCCACCTCCTACTTCAGTCAGTGTGGTATCATTGAATGTCTGCTGGGAAGCCTGAGACTTCCACATTCACTCAGCATTAATAATGCAGTGGCCCCTTTCCTAGCAGCGAAATGCCAGAGGAGACCTGCTAAATCAGGAAATTTAATAAGTCTCATAACATGATACCAAAAATTACCAGAATAGTAAAGAAATTCACTCATACCAAAATTTAAGAAAATTTCACTACAAAGAATAACGATGATCGATAGGCACAATACAAAGTTGAGGTAGATGTTGCAAGTATCTGACAAAGATTTTAAGGCAGTTATCATGAAACACTTTACGCACAATTTTGCCAACATTTGAAACAAATGACAAGGTAGGAAGTCTCATCAGAGAAACCAAAGATAAAAATGTAAAATAAAAAACAGATTCAACAGAATAGCAACAACAGAGTGAATCTGAATAAAGAATTACAAAAATGACCTATTCTAAACAATGTGTCCTTTATGTTTGCATATATTATACAAATAAATGCTCAAAACTCTATATGAGGAGGAAAAAACATGTGTGATATAAACATCAATTCTAAAACAGCAGAAATGGAAACACGAATATTGAATAAATTAAATTTCATAGTACAGGGAAAAAGACAGGTAAAACATGAATGAGAAAAAAATACAAAAACAAAAATGGAAGATACTGCTTAAAAGGAAAGGGGAACAGAGTGGGGGAGGGAAAAGAAAAAATTAGAAAATAAGGTAAAATGGAAATAAAAGGGTTTGTAAATAAAAAGGGTTGAGTGGAGAGGAAGAGAATGGGAGAAAAAAAAGGAACTAAGACGTACTTGACGTACAAGTACAAGTTCCCTGTGATGAATATGATTATTATGTATATCTAAACTATGCAAATAAAATTAATAACTTTCTTTTAAAAATTAATGCAAACCCAAACCACTTTAAAATATGAAAGACCACAGTGGACAACAAAAGTGGTATAGCAATGTGGTACAAAACAAATTTCGATATTTGATGGCCCAGGCTGTCTGTGTGTGGCATACCCCATCACAGGGAATCTTCTTTTGATGTCATACATATACTCTGACATCACTAAAGTTAATCAAGAATATTTTTCACCTTTCCTTTTTGAAACATTTGGACAAATCATAAACTCAAAGTCATGCAAAAAATGAAACCTTACCCATTTTAAATTCCATGGAGTACCAAAAGCATAAGAACTAGAAAATAAATATTTTAATACCTCAATTTTCAGATATATAAATCTGAAAAGACTTTGAGGAGAAACAATTTATTACTAAAGATAAGGGCAGATAAGCAAATTTGCACAACAAAAGTCAAGTCTGTTGCTTTCATTCAATTAAAAAGAAAAGAACAGGGAAGACAACCCAAAGGGTGAGGGCACGGTCAAGGGACAGCATACAACCAAGCACAGCAGACACTGGTTAAAATGTAAAATAGAAATTCTGCAGGAAAAATTATAAATGATAAATGTATTGTTCTTTCTACACAATCCTAGAAGCAAGATTTGAAAATCTCTAAATTTCTACAATGAAATCATTGGTGTCATTTGCTGTCTCAACAAACAGGTTGCCATGCTGGAAAAAAATAGAGGACAATTTAAACTAATAAAAGAATATCAAACAAAATTTTTGAAATCTAGATATAAGTAATAAATTTTCTGGAAAAATAAATACTATAATCTTAAGAAGTATTCATACAACTATATGAGAAAAATCATAAAACTTCTGAAAAGCATAAAAGAATATTTTAATTTCTAGAGAGATACATCATCTAACTACCTGGAAATTTCTTAAAATTGAGAGGGCATCTCCTTTATTAAATGGGTCTATCAATGCCACATGAAAATAAAAACACAAATTTTATGAACAACCTCAATCTGGATGACATATGGGAAAGAAAATACACAAGATAACCAAAATTTTAAAAAAGAGAAAAGAGAAGACCCACCATAATTAAAATGACAAAGATAGCATTTCTAATAGAGAATAGAATGTGAATAAATACATATTAGAAAACAATCCATTTAGGCTTGCTACTTTTTGTTCAATAACAAGTTCTAAATAGATTAAAGAGCTAAATGTAAAAAATAAACGTATGAAAATATTGGAAGTATGAGATAATGTTTTTACGATTTTAGGCTGACGAAAGCTGTTCTTTGCAAAACACAAAAAATTTAAGCGTGAAATTTTAAATAAATCATACATAAAATGAACCAATGATAAGGCTAACAGTCAAGTAAACTGGGTAAAGTATTTGCAATGCAGAAAATGGTAATTTTTCAAAAAAGTGTTTTAACATCATTTTCTTAAAAAACAAAAGACAACCTAATAGGAAAATGGGAAAATGTCATAAACCAGCATTGCATTAAAGAAGTGTAAATGGCCAGTAAATACATAAAAACATCACCAACCTTTCTACCAATAAAATTAAAACAGTATCTTTCAGATAAAGATTTAGAAGGTTATAATGCCCATTGTCATTAAAAGTATTAGAAAAAGCCACTTTTATAATGTTGCCAGAAATTTAATTGGTCTGATTTTTAGTGTTAATTTGGTAGTCTCTATAACTTTTTAGTATGTGTTCATTTTGTCCTGACAGTTCTTTTTGTAATTTAACCTGAGAAAATAATAGAATACGTGCATAAAGGTTTGAGTACAGTGATCTTAAAAGTAGCATTTATTATATTATAAAAACTAGATGTCTGCCATAGAGTTAATACAAAGCACAATTAGAAAAAGCATACCATGAAATATTATGTGCAGTATAAACAGTTTCACATAAAATCAGAGAATTCCTGACTCTCTCGACATTTTTATGCCTATGCACATACATAAACCAACACTCATTATGAAAGATAATATATATAAAGTGTTTATCACAGTGCTTGGCATATGACATTCAAAAATAGTTGCTTCTGTTATTACTGTGAACAGTCAGTAATCATTAAACATGCTACCATCAGCCACTTTGCTTATGACAAATAAAGTAGTGCCTTTTAAGAACTCTTGTGTACTGTCTGTAACTCCTTTCCCTTTACCCACTATGTGATGTCAGTGGTTCTCAGATGAGTTGTTGAAATACATACAAGGTGGTCAAAGAATAGTATCTCTTTTGTAGCACTGCCAGAATGTTGGTTTGAAATAATTGAAAGGCTTTCCTGTGCTTCAAAATTAAATCTACAAAGATTGTTTTAAAATTTTCTCCATTTCAAGATGAAGATGGAACTAGCTTAAATTCAAGTATTCTGGCAGCACTCCGAAAAATGCAAGATGGCTATTTTGGTGGGGCAAGGTAAGTGACTTGCATACTCCTTTTAGTGAAACTAAATGATATTTGGGATGTGAGTACAATAATGCTAGATATGTGATGCTTTTCTCTGTATATTTGCCAACATATGAGTACAATAAAAAATATGACAAATGTTTAAATATAAATAATTTATTACAGTAAAAGAAACATTGCCATTAATCTCCTTCAAAATATTCCTCATTGATTTGAACATACTTATCCCATCATTGTTGCCAATTTCTGAAGATACTCTGAAAGTCCTTTTTTAGGAATTCTTTTAATTGTGCTGCTGTAGCTGCCTCAAAATGTTTACCTTTCATGCTCATTTTGATTTTGAGGAAGATCCAGAAGTTGTATTGTTCCACACTAGGTAAATAAGATAGGTGAAAACACAACATAATGTTTTTATGGGACTCCCCTTCTGTTGGATTGCACTCAGCAGCCACATTCATGATACTTTTATCATTCCTTCATAAAGACACTCACAGAAGAGGATTTCCAGAATGCTTCAGAATGTGATAAGAATGATGGGATCAGTGTATAAGAAGTGAGGAGGGGTACTTTGAGGGGGGACTAATGGCAGTATGTCTTTTGATGTAGTAAAATTTTTTCAAATATTCACCATGTATTTCAATCACACTTTGTAATTCTAATATCAGAGAAGCAACTGTTTGATAGATTTGATCAAGGAACTTAACGTTAGAAAGGAAGGCTGTTAAGTTTTAATACCCTGTCCTTTGCCTGGGCCTTAGGGGGCCAGAAAAACAGTTATTGAATTATGTAATTCTGACTGTGTCACTTTGCTTTTTGTCTCATTTTTATTTTGAAGCTTACATAAATTTGCAACAATTTGCAAGAGTGAAAACCAATACACTCTTTCTAAAAATTCACTTATTGACTTTTTTGTCCCATTATGCATTTTTTCTGTCTCCTCTGCCCTCCCTTCTTTGCTTCCTTTCCTCTCATATACATGTGTGCACACACCCACACTCACTTTCACTCTCTCTCTAGAGAGAGAGAGAGAGATTTTGCTAAGGTTAGCCATAGTCATGACTCTTCAACTCTAAATGCTTCAGTTTCCACTGTTTAATAACAAAGCCATTATCATATATAACCACAATATGATCATCACACTTAAGAAATTTTACATTTTCACTCCCACAGTAGTCCCCCTTTATCTACAAGAAACATTTTCAAAATACATCCAGTGGATTTCTGGAACCAGGGATAGTACCTACAAATCAGGCACACTAGAAGATTAACAACAATAAATAAAAATAGCATAGAACTATTATAATTATGTACTATATTAAAAATTCTTTACAATGTATGTGTTATTTATATCCATGATTTTACATTTACTATTTTAGGACATCAGTTGACTGAATAACTGAATCTGTGAAAACCAAACACACAGATAAGGAAGGAATATCATGCCTCAGCAATCCCTGAACTTTTTGGCAAGAGGGGGTGGTTTTGGAGGGATGGGAGGGGTACTTTCTGAATGATTCAAAGGACCCCAATGTGGATCCCTTGCATGTGCAATTCACAGTAGGGTTCCTGGCGCTTTGAGAATCAACTGCAGCTTATCTGACAGAAGGTGGAGCTCAGGTGGTAATGCAGGCAAGTGATGGAGAGCTGCCATACATACAGATGAAGCTTCCCTGGTTCCTCACTTGCTGCTCACCAGGTCTGTGAACCCCAAGATTGAGGATAACTGCTGTATCTACCATCTCATATAGAATCTATATTCTAATTGTTCAGTTGTCCCCATGATGTTTTTCCACAGATTTTTTCCCAACTAAAACCAACCAAAGGTCACATATGAGCATTTACTAGTTATATCCCTTTTGTGGTTTAATCTCATCTTAATCTAGAACAGTGAGCCACTAGTTTGTTAATCTTTCAAATTTTGAAGAGGACAGGCCACTTAAAGCAAGATGTCTCAGTTTGGAATTGTCTCGTTGTTTCCTCATGATGAGATTTACATTGTATGTTTTGATAGGAATGCTACCTGTGCAATGTTGAACCCTTGGTTTAATTTAGGATCTTTAAGATGGAGTGCACCTCTTTGATGATTAAGAAATATGCAAAACAGAAATAAAGATTTTATCACTTACTGGTTCAGTGCTGTGGGAAGTAAACAACACGCTTGGAAGCCACACGCAGAGGCCAGGGAACATGTGAGAGTATGGGAAGGGGAGGGGTAATGAGGTAAAGAGGCAGAGGGAAGGACACGGCAGAGAGAGAGCTCTATGAGCCAAGGCATTAACACATTTATTAGGATTCAGAGCACTGTCTGACAGGGACCTGGGCTGCTGGCGGGGGTGAGTTCCTGCTCATCATCCTGAGCCCCCGGAGAGTTTAAGATCATCACTCCCAGTAGTCAAGGACACACCCAGCTTCCAGCCACACTAGACTGGGCTCTGCAGGTTTCATGCCTGCCTGTGCCACACCCAGTGTCCTTCTTTCAATCTGGGGAACTGGGCTACCAGAGGAGGGAACTGTGTTGCCAGAGGAGATGAGTTCCTGAACACCATCCCGAGCCCTGGGAGAGCTTAAGATCATCGCTTCCAAGGACATGCCCAACTTCCAGCCACACTACACTGGGCACTGCAGGTTTCAGGGCTGCCTGGGCCACGCCCAGTGACATTCTTTTAACCCTGGGAACTGTGCTGCCAGAGGAGGTGAGTTCCTGCTCACCATCCCAAGCCCTAGGAGAGTGCAAGATAATGGCTCCCAGTGGACAAGGACCTACCCAGCTTCCAGCCACACTAGACTAGGCTTGGGAGGTTTTGCAGCCAAACTAGATTACACCAGGCAACCTTCTTCAATCAGGGGAATTGTGAGCACGTGAAGTGAGTTCTGCACATTGGTCCTTGCCGGGGGAGAGCTTTGGACCATCATCCACAGTGGTTAGGTGCCCACCCAGCATTCTGGAACACTGGAACTGGCACAGGAAGTCCTGTGGGCCTCACTGGACCACACTCAGCAACCTCCATTCAGTCCCAGGCACCAAGGGCATAGGAGACCATTTCCAACATGCCCAGGGGAAGCTTTGGAAGAACACTTGAAACATGGAAATATAGGAAAATGACAAAACAAAAGACCAAAATGCAATCTCAAACTTCTAGCCCATTCCAAGAAAGCCTATGAGCCATGCACATAGAAGAAAATATATGCTGTACACTTGAAACCTGGAAATTATTGCAACTGAAATAAAGAAGCAACTCTGGGAAGCTTTAAAGGAATTCAAATTAGAAATAATATCCCAGGTAAAAGAAGAAATGATACAGTAATTAAAGAGATATTGAACACAAATAAAGAAGACACAGTTAAAAAGTTAGGGGAACAAAAAAAAAAAAAAGAATCCCTGGATAAACAATATAAGAAACAAACAGAACACATGAAGCAGATTCAAAGAGATATACAGGAAATCAAAAATTCCATTGAAAGTTGTCAAACCACCTCAGTGAAAGTGAAGATAGCATTTTAGACCTTGAAGACAAGATTTCAGCTAGTGAACAGGAAAGGAAAGGTCTTTTAAAAATAAGGAATCAGGAAATAATTCAACAGCTGCAAGATGATGCAAAGAAAAACAACACGAGATTGATAGGAATAAATGAAAAAGAAGGGCACAACACAAAGGATATTTAGAGAAGTAATAGCTAAAAATTTCCCAAGCATGAGAATGGAAACTGACATGAGGATCAGTGAAGCAAACAGAACCCCAAGTGGCCATAACCAAAATAAAACTACAGCAAGACATATAATAATCAGCATCCAAGAAATCCAACACAAGAACAGAATATTAAAAGCTGTTAAGAGAAAAGACACATCACCTATAAAGGAAAACCTATCAGAATCACAGCAGACTTGTCAACACAAACAATGAAGTCAAGAAGAGCATGGAATGAAGTATTTCAGATCCTAAAGGAAAATGATTTTCAACCTAGACTGATGTACCCTGCAAAACTGTCCTTCAAAATTGATGGAGAAATAAGATACTTCCATGACAAAGAACAGCTGAAGGACTTCATGATCACCAAGCCAACCCTGCAAAGAATACTGAAAGACATTCTAGATACACATAGGAAAAAACCACTAAGCAAGGCAGACAATTAAACAGAATGGAAAGATAAAGATGCAACAGCAGAAAGATAACATGTCAACAATAAACCAATATATAACAGTTATAACCATTAATGTAAGTGGTTTCTATTCAGTAATTAAAAGAAACAGACTGCCACAATGGATCAAGAAACAACATTCAACTATATGTTGTCTACAAGAAACCAATCTAACCCAAAAGGAAACTCACAGATTGAAAGTCAAAGGATGGAAAATAATACTTCATGCAACAGGAACCAAAAAAAAAAAAAAAAAAAAAAAAAAAGCAGGCGTAGCCATTCTATTTGGAGACAATGTGAACTTCAAACCAAGAATGATTCAAACAGATAACGAAGGTCATTACATACTGGTTAGGGGAAAACTTCAAGAGGAAGAGAAAACAATCTTAAATGTATATGCACCAAATTCCAGAGCACCAAGTTATACAAAGCAAGTATTAAAAGAAATGAAAAATCAAATTAGCAATAACACAATTATAACAAGAGACCTTAACACACCATTGACACCAAAGGATAGATTAATCAGACAGAAAATCAGCAAAGAACAGAATTGAATCACATCTGTGAACAAATGGACTTGATAGACATATACAGAGTGTTCCACCCAACAACATCAGAATGCATATTCTTCTCAGCAGTCCATGGGACATTCTGTAAAATAGACCATATACTAGCCCACAGAACATATTTAATAAAAGCAAAAGAATTGAAATTATCCCATGCATGTTATCAGATCATAGCACCATGAAACTAGAAATTAATGATAAAAGAAACTGTAAAAAACCCACAAACATATGGAAATTAAATAATACACTTTTGAGCAATCAGTGGGTAACTGGGGAAATTAAACAAGAAATTAGACAATACCTACAAGCAAATAAAAATACAAATGCAACTTACCAGAATCTGTTGGATGCAATGAAAGCGGTCCTCAGAGGAAAGTTTATTGCACTGAGTTCCCACATCAGGAAAACAGAATGAATACAAATAAACAACCTGATGCTACACCTCAAACATCTAGAGAAAGAAAATAAGTCAAGCCCAAAGCCAAAAGAAGGGAGGAAATTATAAAAATTAGAGCAGAATGTAATGCAATAGAGGCTAAGAAAACAATCCAAAGAATCAATGAATCAAAGAGTTGGTTCTTTGAAAGAATAAACAAAATTGATAAGCCCCTAGCCAACTTTATTTTAAAAAGAGAAGAAAAAGCTCAAATTCATGCAATAAGGAAAGAAAAGCCAAAATTACTACAGACTGTGGAAATACATAAGATCATCAACATTGATTTCAAAAACCTCTACTCTCATAGGTCTGATAACACAGAAGAAATGGACAGATTCCTAGAAACATATGAGGTACCAAAGCTGGGTAAAGAAGATGTAAATCTGCTGAATAACCCAATCTCTATTAAAGAAATGGAAAATGTAATTAAGTCCTTACCTACAAAGAAGAGCCCAGGCCCAGACAGATTCCCTGCGGAATTCTACAAGTAATACAAAGAAGACTTCATGCCAACACTCTTCAAACTCCTCAATAAAATCCAAAGGGAAGCAATTCTTCCTAAGTCATTCCTGTAAGCAAAAACCTAGTACAAAAACCTGAGAAAGACCCAACTAAAAAGAGAACTTCAGGCCAATCTGCCTAATGAACACAGATGCAAAAATCCTCAATAAAATATTGGCAAATAGGATGCAGCCTATCATCAAGATGATTATACACCATGATCAACTGGGATTCATCCCAGCTGTGCAGGAATGGTTCAACATATGCAAATCAATAAATGTAATCCACCATATCAATAGAGCCAAAAGTAAGAATCACATGATCATTTCTATAGATGCAGAAAAAGCTTTTGATAAGGTCCAACACTCACTCATGATGAGCACCTTACAGAAAATTGGAATAGATGGTCTTTTCCTTAATATGATAAAGGCCATCTATGACAAACCAACAGCCAGCATCATATTAAATGGCCAAAAACTGAAGGCCTTTACCTTGAAATCAAGCACAAGACAAGGATTTCCCTTATCACCACTCCTATTCAACATAGTACTAGTAAGCCTAAGCAATAAGGCAAGAGAGAAAAATAAAAGCGGTAAAGATAGGAAAAGAAGAAGTTAAGTTATCATTATTTGCAGATGACATGATACTCTACATAGAAGACCCCCAAACCTCCATTGAAAGACTCCTAGATACAATAAATAAATTCAGCAATATAGCTGGATACAAAATCAATAGCATTTCTATACACTAACAACAAAATCGCTGAGAGAGAAGTAAGATTAGCCACACCCTTCAGACTAGCATACAAAAAATGATATACTTAGGAATTAATCTCACAAAAGAAGTGAAAGATCTATACAGGGAAAATTATAATGCCCTGAAAAAGAAATCAAAGAGGATCTCAGAAAATAGAAAAACATCCCTTGTTCATGGATAGAAAGAATAAATACTGTGAAAATGACCATTCTCCCAAAACTCTTATACAGATTCAATGCAATCCCAATAAAAAATACCATCAACATACCTCCTAGATCTAGAGAAATCACTCCTAAAATTTATCTGGAGCCAGAAGAAACCTAGAATAGCAAAGGCAATTCTAAGCAGCAAAGACAAGGCAGGAGGCATCACAATCCCTGACTTGAAGTTATACTACAAAGTTACTGTAATAAAATCAACATGGTACTGGAATAATAACAGATCTGAAGATCAGTGGAACAGATTAGAAGATGTAGCCACAACTACCAACACAGTTAACCACCTTATCTTTGATAAAGGGACCAAACATGTTCACTGGAAGAACAACAGTCTCTTTATTAAATGGTGATGGAAAAACTGGCTCTCCATATGCCGAAAACTAAAAGTCGACCTATGCCTATCACCATGTACTAAACTAAAATCTAAATGGATCCAAGATCTGAATATTAAAACAGAAACACTAAATCTGTTGGAAGACAAATTAGGTAAAAACATTGAAGCCGTAGTGGTAGGTAGAGAACTCGTGAATAGGAATCAAACTGCATGGGAAATACTTGTCAGAATCAATAACTGGGATGACACCTTATTAAAAATTTTCTGCATGTGAAAAGAAATCTCCAGCATAGTGAAAAGAAAACCCACAAACTGGGAAAAATGTTAGTGAACTGTCCCTCAGACAAAGGAATTCTGTCTAAAACATACAAAGAATTTTAAAAAATCAGACCCCTGAAATTCAAAGACCCAATCCAAAAATGGGCATCTGAGATGAATACACACTTCTCAGATGAAGAAATACAAATGGCCAGTAAATACATAAAAAAATGTTCATCATCATTGGTCATTAGAGAAATGCAGATTAAAACAACACTGAGATTCCATCTCATTTCAGAAAGAATGGCCATGATAAAACTACCAACAACAAGTGCTGGAGAGGTTGTGGGGAAAAAGGAACTCCCCTGCACTATTGGTGGGAGTGTCAACTGGTGCAACCACTGTGGAGATCAGTCTGGAGATTCCCCAAAAAGCTGGGATTGGAAGTCCCATTCGACCCAGCTATTCCACTTCTAGGCATATTCCCAAAAGAACTGAAAACATACCACAGTGATATATGTGCACCCATGTTTATAGCAGCACAATTTGTAATAGCCAGATTTTGGAAACAACCTAAGTGTCCATCAACTGAGGAATGGATAAAAAGTTGTTGTATTTTCATACAGTGGAGTACTACTCAGCTATAAAGAATGATCACATTGAGATATTTATAAGTAAATGGATGCAATTTGAGACCATACTCATAAGCAGAATAAATCAAACTTACATGTATAAATACCGTATAGTATAAGAAATGGTAAGAGTACGTAAGAGTTTATGGTAATCATGATTCCTCATTACATTGCTTTGAAGCCTTATAATGTTTCCAATCATTAGTTGGAATGGTTTTATCCTGGTTTGTTTGATTTTTATTATCTGTGATAGTATGAACAGCTATTTTGAAGAAAACAATATATTATTATAGCCATTGCTGATTTAATATCATCTAACTCTGAAGTCCTACCATGCTTTTGTTCTTCTGTTTCTATTGGTTCTATCATATTGGATTTTATTTTGTGTGATAGTATAAACAAGTTTTCTATGGAAAATGAGATAATGTGGTAGCCATTGTTCACTTTCTGTTATTTGGTTCTGAATGCTTTTTAATACTTTCATTCTCTTGAATGGTTTTATACTATTTTATTTTGTTTGTTACTATTGTATATGAAGTTATGCTCAACTATTTCAAAGAAAGAGACATTATGGTAGTTACTTTTAATTACAGGTTGTCTTGTCATTAAATACTGTGTTGCTTACATTGTTCTGTTTTGATCTGCTTTGTTATGTCCTCTTTTGTCTTAATCTCTTTAAAATAAAAAAAATTTAAAAATGATTCAGAGCATTACCCACACAAATCTCCCATAGATAATTTTAATGGATAGATTTAAAGCATGTAGGCACAATTTCCAAGTGGTGATTCAGAAGCAGTTGTTGTAGCATATCTGCACAGTCTTTGTGAGGTAAGATCAGTGGGACTGGTCAAATAGCTTTTATCTAGTTGTCTCGTGGGTGGTCACTAGAAGGCAGCTACATAAAGCAAATATTTGAATGGACCACATTGAGGAACTGAGGAAGGAGTAAAACTGGAAACTGTCAAGGGTGATTATTTATTTCAATGTTCTTTGGTAGTAGAAAGCTAAATCTATATTCAAAATTGATGCTGAAGGACATAAAATTATAAGCATTCATTAGAGCCCTTAAGTCATCTTATGAGGAGGCATGTGGTTTGTTACATTATTGGTGATGTTACCATGATCGCTTGGTTAAAGTATCTGCCAAGTTTTTTTCTTATCTTTCCCAACAGTCTTTAAGCAAATGATATTACCTCCCCTTGATATTTGCATGAATCAGTTATTACTAATGGAGTTGTAAAAGAGTGCATCTATCACAATGCATGCACTCATTAGTTAGACTTCTTGTGTATAAAATGATCTTTCCATTCCCTTCCTGTTTTTAATAGGTTAGAATCAGCATAGACCCATGAATTTTCCTTTATTAGTATTATGTTTGCAGTACATAATGATCACATTCATCATGAAAAAATTGTAACATACATAACACATCTTAATTCTTTTTTGTCCTTTTCCTCTTCTTTCACCCCAACCCTTCTTCCCCTGCGTATTTACAAAAGTTCTATTTCTCCTTTTTCCTTTAATTCTTTTTTCTTTAAATCCATTTGTCCTTTCTTTCCCTCTTCCCACTTTCCTTGTTCTCTTTCACATTTGAACAAGTTCTTCCTACTTCCTAATATCTGTCTTTCATTTTGCTCCTTGTTTATACTGTGGGTTTCTCATAAAAGACAACTGATTTAATATTTAAACCTGTGTATCTGATTATTTCATTTAACATTATGGTCTCGAACTGCATCCATTTACTTAAAAATGGATTCTTATTTTATTCAATATGTAATGTTCCATTACTGTTATTATTTATTTCAATGTTCAAATTATTCAGAGCTTGACTACTGGCAGCCTGTTCAAGCTGACTTCTTTAGAAAATTAGTATTACTGACTTTCCTTTTGAGTTTTGTAATTGGCATATATATATATATATATATATATATATATATATATATATATACCAGTGATCAAACTGATGACCTCATGCTTACTAAGAAAGCGCTTGAGCCACTGAGCAAAATCCCTGGCCCCTGTAATTGAATTTATAAGTAAGGGGCAACATGATTTATAACCTGCTATAATGTATACAATTTTCAGATACCATCTTTTATGGTCAAAGTAGTCTTTGCCAGGTATTTTCTAAATGATGTGATCAGTTTATTGTGATTTATCTTGATTTTCTCCTGATTTCTCTAGTAGTCATTTCAAATTTGTACCAGGCATTTGGCATAGTTAGCTGCATAGAAAATGGAAGTGGAAAAAAGCAAAACTCATCTGCTGGTGAACTGTGAGCCCATAATTGTAGCCTTTGTTAACACAGTCCTCTAATCATTTAAGCTAAGCAGTGTTCTTAGTAGTGCTGTAAAATTTCACTTTTATAAAATTTATACTGTTTATGAACATCAGTAATACCTAAATAAAACATGTCAGGTCTCTTCTACCACTAAAATTCAATTTTAAAAGTACTTCTCTTGATTTTATGTTTTTTGTCTACCCGCTAATTGTCAGGATTCAAACAGGTAAATTGTCAGAGTTTTTGACAACATCTTGCTGCTCTCACTTGAGCTTCATGGACCTTGGACCTGAGGGCAAATTGTACAGTGAAGATTATGAAGACAACCCTGATGAGCTGGAGTCTGGCAACTGGATGGAGAGCTATGATTCAACCAGTAATGGTAAGGCGGATTCATAAAACACTGGCTGGATGGACAAGAATACAAAATATGATTTAGCATCATCCATAATAACTCGTGCTGCAGCCATCTCACAATGCACTATTCTCACTCCTCTTTAATACATCTAGATTTCTACTTTTGTTTGGCTTCACTTTTCACCCCTTTACTTACCTTCAGTTTCTGGTCTAATATCCCTGGTGATTGTGGATTATGGAGCTGGACTGTTCCTTACTATAGTTAGGGAAGATTTATCTCCTGGGCGTTTGAAGTGGCTGGTGATTTTGAAAGGGGAAGAAGCAGTGGTGAGTAATAGATATTTAATCAAGTACATAGTAAACAAAAATTATACATATATGTATATATACTTATAGTATTGATTTTCTGTATTAAAAATCATAAAAATTAAATTTATTAGAATGCTTTTTATATAATATCAGAGCGATATATTTGAATCTCTTGAGATGTGCATAGAACAAGCATATTGAGAATGTTTATTTTTTCTATTACAAACTAAACATAAAGTAATGCATGACAAAATGAAAATCTAGTTGGCTAATAGGAATATGAGTTGATGCACTGATGAAGGCATGAATTAAATATAGCTGAGAAATCTTGCCCTGCAGTGCTAAAATACTGACCTATTCAGGACAAGCACTACATTGTTTGATTACCAAAGACAAAGAGCTAGAGAAAATTATTATTCTAGCTGTGTAAAATTTGGTTTGCCTGCTTTCACTTTCTGGTTCTTTCTGATTATGTGACCATTAGTCTGTATTTTAAATCAGTCAGTTGCATTAAGTTAGGAATGGTGTGACGGAGAAAAGAAACAGTAAGTTTGCTTTCTTCAATGATCTCCTATGTAAAAGACCAGCAGTCAGAATTACTATTTCCTTATTTGGGCTCAGTGTTTGCTCAGTTACATAATTTTGTGAGACAGGGTCTTGCTATGCAGTTCAAACTTCCCTTAAACTCACTACATAGCCCAGGCTGACCTCAAACTCATGGAAATCCTCCTGCTTTAGCCCCCAAAGTGCTGGGATTATAGGCATGTGCCACCACTCTTGGCTTTTATATTTGTTTTCATAAGCTGTTAAAATTTATTTATTTAAATTTATTTGTTGAAGAGGTACATTTAATAAAGGCTTTTACTGTTAATGATAATCAAAGTAATCTATTATGTCTATTTTAGCATAAAATACTTGAAAATTAAGCAAAATATATATTGAAGTTGCTTACTGTTCCATGAGTCATTATGATTTTCAGCAGTAGCTCCCACTTCCCTGAGTTACTTTCTAAAATGTATCTTTTTAATGCTGGGTACCACTATGTTTGATCTTACAGCATTCTGAGATACTTTCAGCCTCTAGGTTTACTTACTGTGATCTCACAATGGGCATGTTGATTGCGTTCTGGCCCTTTAGTTGGTACAAAACTTTTTATGTTCTTCGTAATCCTCTACTCAAATATCTAGATTATATTCAAGGGCAGACTGTCATTGGTATATCCTCCATGAGTTCCAATCTTACAGCTCTGCTAGCTCCATTAACTACATCAGAGCATGAAAATATGTCTGAAGAAATTAGTGAAGATCATCCAAAATCAGATAATGCATGGTTGACTTAGTGAACTTTGGTACTAATCCAGATCTTGTGCTTTTTCAACGATAAATATTATGACATTTATGTAAAGTGTGAAATAGTAAGTCCCTACAAATTATTTGCATATTTTTGCTTTCATTATCTGTACTCAGAGCTCATATTATAGATAATGTACAATGGAGGGGGAACCAAAGAAGAGAGAGACCATGTCTCTCTTCTTCAGCAAACTTTAGCACCTAACACACTGTCTCATGCATATTAGTAAACATTTGGTAAGTAAATAAATGAGGTGACTGCAAGGCCATTGTGTGGCGAATAGTCCTTTCTTCACCATTACCACAAGAAGATGTTTTATTTGTTTTCTTTAGTAATTGTAGCTGCTATTTGTAGGATTTGTTTGGTGGAAAATTGTTTCCCCCTTTCTTGACCTTCCCTCACAAGAGTCCTTTACCAGTAGTGGCATGTAACAGGCCCTGTTTTTCTCCTCCACCACTATTTTACCTTTGCCACAACCATTATCACATGTTCACACGTGCATGCGCAGATTATACAGTACTTATTCCTCCTGCCCTAAAATAACCTCATACTGCTTTCAGGAACCTTAATATTTTCTCAGCAAAGCTGAGGAATGAAGTGTCCTGGAAAATGGCATTAGTCTCTAAATCTTAACTCTGAGTCTGTATAGTGATCACAAGAGTTTTTCCCCTCCATTATCTAAAAACAGCCTACTTCTGGTGCTGGGTTACAGGTACAGGAACTGGTCATTCTGAATGCTGGGGTAGACTGTAAAATAACTAAAATGTTTTTTTCTCTTCTCCCTCCTCCACTAACCTTGCAGCTCGCTGTGGTGAGGAAGTTGCTCGTTACTTAGATCACCTTTTGGCCCACACTGCTCCCCATCCTAAACTAGCTCCTGCTTCAAAGAAGGGAGGGCTAAATCGATTCCGAGCTGCTGTGCAAACAACTCGCGACTTAATGTCCTTGGTGACCAAGGCCAAGGAACTACATGTACAGAGTGAGTAATGCTATGGACTCACTAGAGTCAGGCACAGGACAACTTGAATCCCATGATGGGGGCAGGACATTGATTATTCTGTAAGCAGGAACTTTGTTTTATTCCCTGCTTTATCCCCAGCATCTTAGACAGCATCTAGAACATGTTAGACACTCAAAGATTTGTACAATCAATAAATCTAATACAATTTTATTCAAGATAGTTCTGTGTACTCTGGTTTAACCAGGAGCACATAATGAGAGGCAGAGAAAGAGGATATATTCAATTATTAACATCACACTTTTAAAAATGGTAAAAAAAAGAGCTTTTGCTTTAGAAAATTTTCTCCTTTGGAAGTAATTTTGTTTAAAGTGAAAACATTGCAAGATTATGACAGAGTAGCCATGCAATGGAGAGGGAGATATTTTCTCTTAAGTAAAATTTCTTCACTTGGGACAGTTGTAACTTTTACATTCAGTTCCTCCAGCTACATAGATCTGTGTTTTCTCAAATATAGTACTCATTCTTCACAACTTTGCCGTACTCCTCCCTAAGACCACTATCCTCCTTCAACAATGTTTGTAGTGGAAGATGTCTTCTACTACACAGTGCCAGGAGTAGTCCTGGTTCTTGACTGTTTGACACCTGTATAGTAGCTGCCTATGAAGAAGAAAGGTTCCTTGGCCATGCTTAGATGACCTGAATATTAACACTGTACAAATGACGAGAATGATCAATATGCATGCTCTTTTTGTCTAAAATTTATTGACTCTTACTAATCAAATATATTAAATATGAACACTAGGGAATTAACATTTATAATAGGAAAAATCTCAACATACCCTTTGGGTGTGATCCTTGGTGAGATGTCTTATGCAAGCAGATGAACTTTATTAAATCATATTTCTTGGTGTGTATCAGGAGACTTCAGTTTTATTCTCAACTCTGCTACTTACTTGTTTGAATAGTTGTTTGAGCTTTGTATCTCTCTGTGTCTATAAAATGGTGAAAATGACAAGAGAGTCTCTCTTTAGATATTGTGGTAAGTATTTCAACAATGGGTTGTAAGTAAAAATCTTAGAAATAGCTGCAAGTTTCTCACTCATTGCATTTTTTTAATTCCCTAGATAGTATCATCCAGTTACCTATTTGATGGCAAAGACTAGCCATCAAATATTCTCCTGTGAAATCCCAGAAAATATGAAATTTAACTGGG